CCGCGTCAAATCACGATGTATCTGTAACTGTGACATAGCTGCAGATTGGTGTCTGTGTTAAAACCCACGTATCTACAGGACATTTGTGAGCCAGCGTGGTGGAATCAGGCTCTCGTCAAAAAAATCAAAGTGAAGAAACTGGCATTTTTGCGCATGCTTGGAAATTTTTATCAATTTTTTTTATTTGCTCAACACCTTTCAGGCCCATTAAAGAATTCAATTTTGTTTGGATTTGTATGAAAAACGTTGGTTAAAGGCATAAAAAATATAAATTTTCAGTTACCACAGGCTCTTAAGCTAAGGAAATAACTAATCTTTGGCGGCCATCTTCTCACTAATTTTACCTCTGAAATCAGGTGACCCCCACCTCCTTCATTTGCAAATATCTCAACATGTATTCAAAATAAATGAATACTTTTGTCATCCAAATAAAGACAGGTGAACAAGCTTGACGATGATACCAATAACTCTACATGTCCAAAAATTGACGAGAGCCTGATTCCACCACGCTGCCTCACATTTGTTTTTTATTTCTCATGTTCTCATCACCAGGGGAGATATGAGCTGAGATTTGATTTCACTTACGAGGGAGTCGACTACAACGCCACCTATGACACCTTTGGGCTGTCTGGAGAATCAGAAAATTACAAACTTAGGATATTTGACTTTTCCGGTAATGTGTGGAACGAGATGAGTTATAACAATGGCGCCCAGTTCTCAACCAAGGACCGTGACAACGACGGGTCAGATATCAGCTGTGCCTACTACCAGCACGGGGGTTGGTGGTTCAATGCCTGCAGTAGCGTGAACTTCAACGGCCGCTGGGCCAGCAGGGAGAACTGGAAAGGCATGAGGTGGAGCAGCGTCACGGGGAACGCCGCCTCTGTCTCCTTCAGCGAGATAAAGATAAGACCCCTGGCCAAGTAACGGCGTAATGCTTAGTCTTCAGGGGGAGGGGGCATTCATCGCTAGGACCATAGGCTCAGCTCCTTGGCTTTGTCATCCACAGAGTGTCCACGGTACCGATTCCTTGTCCTTGTTCCCATTTCTCTGCTGCACAGTCTGGACATGGCTGGATGGTGCCTCTATAAATAGATTATTGATGAGGGTGCCTCTATAAATAGATTATTGATGAGGGTGCCCATCTATGCTCGACGAGGAATTTATAATTGCTGTTTTTCTATTACTTCTATTCCTTTTGTCTCTTCGGGGCAGTTCTAAAGCCGTGGACGGAGTCCCCCACTAGGACACTTGGCCCAGAGAAAATCTTTGGGAGGACAGAAACATTGAGCCCAAACTTAGAAGTGAACCTGTCAAGTCCGCGTCAAATCTCGATGTATCTGTAACTGTGACATAGCTGCAGATTGGTGTCTGTGTTAAAACCCACGTATCTACAGGACATTTGTTTTTAATTTCCTCATGTTCTCATCACCAGGGGAGATATGAGCTGAGATTTGATTTCACTTACGAGGGAGTCGACTACAACGCCACCTATGACACCTTTGTGCTGTCTGGAGAATCAGAAAATTACAAAATTGGGATATTTGACTTTTCCGGTAATGTGAGGAACGAGATGGCTTTTAACGATGGTGCTCAGTTCTCAACCAAGGACCGTGACAACGACGGGTCAGATATCAGCTGCGCCTACTTCCAGCACGGGGGTTGGTGGTTCAATGCCTGCAGTAGCGTGAACTTCAACGGCCGCTGGGCCAGCAGGGAGAGCTGGAAAGGCATGAGGTGGAGCAGCGTCACGGGGAACGCCGCCTCTGTCTCCTTCAGCGAGATAAAGATAAGACCCCTGGCCAAGTAACGGCGTGACCAGCGACATGAAGATAAGACCCCTGGACAAGTAACGGCGTGACCAACGACATGAAGATAAAACTCCTGGACAAGTTCTAAAGCCGTGAACGTAGGCCCCCACTAGGACACTCGCCCGATAGAAAATCTTTGAGAGGACAAAAACATTGGGACAAAATTTAGATTCGAACTTGTAGCGCCCGCTTCAAATCGAGACTTATCTCTAACTGTGACATACGCTCGTAGCTACTGATTTGTGACTGTGTTAAAACCCACATATCTACAGGACATTTGATTTTAAATTCCTCATGTTCTCATCACCAGGGGAGATTCGAGCTGAGATTTGATTTCACTTACCAGGGATACGACTACTACGCCACCTACGACACATTTGTGCTGTCCGGAGAATCAGAAAATTACAAATTTTGGACATCCGGATTTGACGGCAATGTGTGGAACGTCATGGCTTTTAACAATGGCGCCTCTTTCTCAACCAAAGACCGTGACAACGACGGGTCAGATATCAGCTGCGCCTACTACCAGCACGGGGGTTGGTGGTTCGATGCTTGTAGCAGAGTCAACCTCAACGGCCGCTGGGCCAGCAAGGAGGACTGGAAGGGCATGAGGTGGAGCAGCGTCACGGGGAACGCCGCCTCTGTCTCCTTCAGCGAGATGAAGATAAGACCCCTGGACAAGTAACGGCGTGACCAGCGACATGAAGATAAGACCCCTGGACAAGTAACGGTGTGACCAACGACATGAAGATAAGACCCCTGGACAAGTAACGGCGTGACCAGCGACATGAAGATAAGACCCCTGGACAAGTAACGGCGTGACCAGCGACATGAAGATAAGACCCCTGGACAAGTAACGGCACCACCACACCCAATACTCCATCCCTTGATTCTCTGTTTAAATGTATGCTTGTCTGCCTGTTAGCTTTTGTTTGAGGGGACAATTAAGACACAGAAAAAGCAACATCAAACAAATCTTGGGGGGCTCTTGTAAAAACAGACTGATACTGAAACCCATTTTGCGTTCCTCTCACCTCCTTAATGACATAGCACAGAAACAACGTTCAGAAAAGGAATAAATATTCGATTGATAAAGTTAGAAAATAGATAATAAAATGCAGCTTCAAATTAAGTGTGAAAGCGATGAAATGTCACAATTTTCGATGACAAAACTGAAGTTTAAAAACAACCCCCCCCCCAAAAAAAACCAGGGGAAAGGGGGGGGGGGGGTCCGATGTTCAGTGAAAAAAGTTCGCTCCTCTTTTTACAAAGTCATGCGCGCTGCAAAACACCGAAAAGGCGAATAAATACGCTGACGAATATTATGACAGTTTATCTTTAGTCTTGGTGACAAATTGCAGTTTGAACTAAGAGTACCACCTGTGACTGATCTGCGATAGAAATCCTAATTTTTCTTGAAAAGGAAAGTTTGTTAGAAATAAACAAAAACGAGATATTCAGAGGCTTCGTTTAATTTGAAAGACTTCTCTGATGCAGACAAACAAACGCCGGGGAACCCCCTGCTATAAATAACTCAAACCCAACCTGTGATGATCCAGTCTCAATGTTTTGGTCTCAAGTTCAAATCTAATTTGGCCGTCACATTCCCAATGTTCACAGAGGGCACCCCCCACCTGTCCCCCCC